TTTTTTTTTGAAGAACTAACAAGAAAGATCTGCTTACTCACCACAGCCAGCTCTTGCGCATCAGAAACTGCAAAGCCAAGTCGTGCATAGTCAGCGAGCATTCTCGCTAGCACAGGATCGGCATTGCAACGAAGGGCATAGTAAGCCTGGACGCGGGGCAGATGGTCTCGCCAGTCGTCCACACGAGCCATCACTGATGGCATGTCCATGACAAAAAATGGAGAGGCTCCAGTCTAAAAAACAATTAAAGGTAAAAGCGAGAAGAGAATTTTCCCATTATGTGCTTCCCAGCAGGTAGTAGCATAATCCAACAAGAATATGCAGATCACGCACATACAAAGTTATTTGCCAAAAGTTAAAGTACCAAAGAAGGTGGTAAGTGTACGCTTTTTGTGTTCATGTCTCCACCTGTGAGATGCGCCACGACTTTGAACTTTCTTGAAAAAATTCCAATCTTAATGATGGGTCAATGGGTTCAAATTTGCACCAAACCCATTATTCCAACACTTAACACTTCGTCGCCTAACTCACATCTTATCTATCAACCCCTCATAAGTGAAATTTCTGAATTATCTCTGGAATCACCCATGACAAAAAATGGAGAGGCTCCAGTCTAAAAAACAATTAAAGGTAAAAGCGAGAAGAGAATTTTCCCATTATGTGCTTCCCAGCAGGTAGTAGCATAATCCAACAAGAATATGCAGATCACGCACATACAAAGTTATTTGCCAAAAGTTAAAGTACCAAAGAAGGTGGTAAGTGTACGCTTTTTGTGTTCATGTCTCCACCTGTGAGATGCGCCACGACTTTGAACTTTCTTGAAAAAATTCCAATCTTAATGATGGGTCAATGGGTTCAAATTTGCACCAAACCCATTATTCCAACACTTAACACTTCGTCGCCTAACTCACATCTTATCTATCAACCCCTCATAAGTGAAATTTCTGAATTATCTCTGGAATCACCTTGAAACATTTTCCAACTCACATACCTGTTTGTTGGCGACATGTCGAGCAATTTGTGTAGCATCGCGATTCTCCCCCACGATCACAACCGACTGTTCGGCAAATTCACATCGTGACCACTGTTCATTTTCAACGGGCGAGTTGTAGGACGCAGATGGAAGACGACGTCGTTCGATCATGCGGCACGTGGATTACGTTGAAGATTCTGAAACTGGAATTTCTCAGGAAAATGTTCTGAAAAAAGGAATGGAGATTATATATGGCTCGTTCCCCGTGCCCTTGGCTATGAGAAATCATC